CGCGAGACGGACACTGAAGTTAAGTTTCCAAGTAGCATGGCAAGGTAGCACCTATACAACAAGCAGGCCTGGTAAAACACAGAAGGCTTTGTTCAGCAAGTTTCTGAAGTGACAGAAGAGATGCTTAAATCATGAAGTTGCTGTGCGTTCTCACTGCTCTACCCAGGCAGGGTGCTAAACTGTTCACTCTTTTTGTCTGTGTTAAACCAAACTTCCCCACTGAAAGGCAGTTTCTATAAAATCACTTTTTTAAGCAACAATACTTGGAAGTTATAAAAGTAGTTCAAGCAGTGTCTCCTTAGAAATTTTCATCATCTTCCTCCTGAATTAAGGTAACTTGAAAATGGAGCTATATCACCCAAGAGAAAAGGATTAAAAAAAACACCCAAACACATAATTGCCTGGTCTGTAACATTCAAAGGTTAAAGAACTGCTGTTTCTTTTTAACAATTAGAAACCGCATGCAATAATTATCTCTGCAACTCTAGTGTACACATACCAATAATCAGACACTAATCAATCAAATTACATAGCCACAACATTGAAGTTACTTCCTCCATAAGTATTCAGCTACAACTTCTACTGCAAGTATTTTTCACCTGCTCTTGATTCAAAGCACAGAACAGATTACCTTCTACGTAAGCAGCTAACAACATACTAATACATCTTATACACTATGATCAAGACAAGGTCTGAAAGATGCAAAGGATTAACACCTTTATACCTCTAACTATTGTAACACTTAATAGTAGAAAAAAAAATCCACACTTGTTAATACTTGTGCGCAATAAATTCAGTGTGTTAGACTAGATAATAAAGGTGAATACTACGATCATAAAACTTTTTTTTTAGTTCCTTCATTGTCATAAAGGCTAAAAAAAGTTTTCCAACATTTTCTCGTTCAAAGCAGATATTTAAGTACTAATTGAGATTAGTCTCAACTTTGATATTACAGAACTTCTGTAGTTCGAAAACAAGAAAACATCTGTTGAGCAGCTGTAATGTATTTTACTTCAGACACTTTCTACAAGCTCTGATAGCGACTTGTCAAACACAGATTGGATCCGTTCTCTAGGACACTGGCCAGATACTTTAGCGCTGTCCTTTGCCTTTTGGTAAATGCAGTTTCAATCCATGCTGCCCAAGTTTGTTGCAAAAATACAAAAAGAGAATCAAGTTTAGAACTATTCCGTTACCAGTTGTAAAATGTCAACTCACCTTCAACAATCTTGCATCAACATATATGGGAAGGGAGAGAAAAGAAAAAACAATTAGACTTTGGTGTGCTCCCCCACTTTTACACACAAACACTAGAGAAACTCAGCAATCGCAACAAAACAAGCTAAGAATGGCAGGTGTCACTCTCTTATTTTGATGAAGAATATGAAAAGCAGCAGTAAATTAGCTGTTGCTGTGAAAATAAGGGGGTGGTTGCCCTTGGTTCTGCTCACAATGCTGCAAAGGGACAGAAATGGAGGCAGCTCATGACCCACCTGAACAGCCTCCTCCCTCCTCCTCAGTTTCAGTCCCCTCATTTGATTTCAGCTGGTGGAGATGCTTGCCCTCTTTCTCCTCCAAAAAGGCAAATTCAGGTGTGATATCAACAAAAAGTGCATATTCACACTTGCACATGGACTAGTGCTAAGCATCTGACACTGTCCTGCACGACATCCATGTCTCTAAAGTGGAGAGACAAGGATTTGACAGATAGACCACTTGGTGGATAAGGAATTGGCTGGATGGTCACACTCAAAGAGTTGTGGTCAACGGTTCAATGTCCAAGTGGAGGCCAGTGACCAGTGGTGTTCCTCAAAGGTCAGTACTGGGGCCGGTGCTATTGAACATCTTTGTCAGTGACATGGACGGTGGGATTGAGTGCAACCTCAGCAAG